AGTCTGAATGCCTCACTATTTTCACTTTGATCACCTCTTGAATAGGAACTCGAAGTAGCTTAGGTCTCATAGAGAGATTTAAAATTGAGTTTACCTCATTAAAATTTGTATATGGTTTGACGATACCATTAAGTTCTACTAGGTCTTGCCCTCTAAAAGACTTCCCATTACTCAGTCTTGACCTAGCTCGGGTCTCATCATCACTCCTGATAGGATTCAAAATAGAGTTATGTACATCAATGAGCACGTTGCCATTTCCTGAGGCAGCAGGTGATTACTGTATTGATGGGACTCTTAAAGCAATTCAGGCCTCTCCAAAACCATATTTGTAATGAGACTGGCTTGGATACAGCCACCTAAAATTTGCCATTAAAAATGAAACATTACTAAATACACCATATAAGTAGGTTACGGCACAACTATATACCAAATTAGTAGGTTTGGTGAACTTAGGTAACTCAGGAATTTATTTGAGATCTGCTGACCGTTTCGATAGATATTCATTTGTTATACGTTTTTGTTTATGTTTTTTACATGTTGCTATCTCTAAAGCGTTTGAGCTTGTTAAATGAAATGCTCATCAAAATTCATGGAGGAAGTCCCGAAACGCATTTTTGTGGCTTACCTGATGGTCTTGATAGAACCTGAATCGAACAAGAAAAGATAAGGTCTGAATATGGAAATAGTGGACAAACAATATCAGTCATAGGTACCACAGAATTTTACTTTTTTATCAGAGCGTGTTGAGGCTCTTAACTTGATGAGGAATACTACTGGATAGTTGCGGAAGGATATTACTGAGATTTTGAGTGCAAGCCTCTTGCTATTCAGCTGCCCAAGTTTCTGGAATTTTAGTGGCCGACAAGATGTGATAGGACGCAAATATGCGATACTGAGGTGATTATAGTAAACGCTGGGTTAAAGTGTTACTATAAGGTGGTCCTAGGAGTCGTTTTTGAATATAAAGCTGTGGTATGGGCATCCTAATTCTCTAATATCCAAGCTTATAGACTTTCCATGAGCTATTGGTAGACACGATATTCTGCTGTAAAATCAGGAAGATGTAATGCATGAAGATGCAGCGGACTAGTGATCGGTGCTCTTATAAATCGTGCGTTAACTGTCGTTCCGAGAAATATCTAATCAGCCAAGGAGTCTCATTTGTAAGATGTGAGAGACGGCTTCTGTTGGAGATGACGGTTTACTTGATTTTGGGTCAGGAGGCGGAGTCTGTTATACAATATGGAGCAAAATCGAAATTCATAATAAGTTGGCCAACCCTTAGTCATAAATACTCAGGATTTATGGTTCATAGGAAGGATGCCTGTGAGAGAGGAGACATTTCTTGTAAAAAGCCAAACTTGTGAGGGGGTAAATTCGGTCTCAGTTACTTTCGTTGAAAATTTACATGGAATGAATCAGAGAGAAAGAAGAGCAAAAAGTGCAGAGCTAAGAAAGAGGTTTGGTGTTAAGCCAAAGGGATAAATGAGGGTATTGAGCAAGAGTTTGGCCGAGTCAAAACATATATTTAACCAATGGTAGGAAGGCTCTTGCCTCTTATTTGTGTTAATTTATCAGTGATAAGAGTAAAGAATAAGCAAAGATTCTACTCAATATTCAGAATTAATGTATTTTTTACCAAGTTTTATAAAAATATTTCCTGTGACTATGGTCTGTATTACGTGAAAACCGCCATTTGTACTGCTAAGCCTAAACTATATGTATTATGATTTTCTTTCATTTCTAAACTCTGTTTGTCTTAGCAGCTAGCTAAACCTTTCTGTAATTTAATCCATTAAACTAGGTGGCATCGTGTCGCCCTCGGCTTTCGTGGAAGAGTCATTAGACTTTTGGTCGATTGCCAGCAACAGGAAGCTGTAGCATTGGACAAGCCAAGAGTGGCCATCACTCGCGGGACCTACCTCCGCCTACTTCACGATGGAATTAATGTAGGCACGCTAAGAGGAACTAGATTAGGATACGTCTAAATTTTTACTTATTTACATAATGATACAATTTTTAATCACTCCAAATTTAAGGGCCTTTTTATAAATGCAAACCCAAGCTATAAAATCTACATGTCACAATTTGCTGAGCCATAAATTAATAAAAGATAAATGTGTTATTTTTAATCCGTTGAATCCCGATAGCCGTGTTTCTCAGGATATATATATATATATATGTACTATAATCACTTGCGATACTTTTATTTTTACCATATAGCCTTTAATTTACGCA